CATTTTTTCCATTACTGCCATTCTATGCGTATCAATAATTTCACTGTTTTTAGATCTCTATCTGTTTCCTATCACGCCTCCGTCTCCTTATCACTCGCGTACAGAAGCTTTATAATAACAAAATGCACATCTAGTTGCTTTCCAGCTCTGCAGCCTAGGAGAGGGGGCTCAATTATGCAGCTTGGGTGGTCAACTAAGCAAACCCTTTTTTTTTTTTAATGTTTTCACTACATATGACATTTTGTGAATGGTGGTGGAGAGAATGAGCCCAGATAGTACAGAATGTCCATAATAAGTGGTGAGTAACTGCAGCATGATTCATAGCTGTCCTTTTCCAAAGAGGTAGCCTATTCCTGCTCAGTGAACCTAATTTCAACCTTTTCTCTCCTCCTTTGTTGGGCTCATACTACAAATTTTTCTCCCCCTTTCTTCACTGCTTCGCTCTTTCTCTGGGTGCGTCTCGAGGTGCAGGCGAGTAGCTCAGGATCATTTGTAGGACTAAACCCACTGAGTTTGACCAGAGGTGAAACACTAAGATAAATCTAATTTAAGAACTAGAGGTGCTTGGTTGTTTAAGCAGAAAAACGTTACCGTTTCTAAAATACACAGAAAACAACAATCGACCAGGATACACTGCTGTAAACTGTCACATCATCTGCACTTTACCATAATTGGACCTGCTGCTTCTTCTTTGGTGTGGTTGAGTGCCTTTAGTTAATTTTAGTTGTATATATTATTATTATTGTGTGTTTGTTTATTTAATATATATTTTATTTTTGACTTTTTGCATGGGAGTTGCAATAGAAATTTTGTTGAATCCTGTTCAATGACAATAAATGCTATTCTATTCTATTCTATTCTAAAAGCTGCAGGTTTTGATGAAGAACTGCTTGACTCTTTTTGAGAGGCTAGGTTTGGGAGAATGGAGCATTGAGAGACGTATAAAAAAATATAAAAAACACTAACATTTGGGGAATTCACCAGTCTTAAATGCTGTGCTGATAAGAAACTTAGAAAATCTCAATATGAATAACAAAATATTAATTTGGAGCCATTGAAATGAATTTCAGCTGTTGTTCTTTCAGAGTTGGATGATTTTGCAACCTCAATAGAACAGGGTGCACAAGTTTATGTTTAACCAAACTCTGAATTTAAAGAAATGATTACTCCAAATATTTTCTTGAGATCAGGACCATCTTTGTTCAGTCCAAGCCCAGTTTAGGTGTGTGTCCGGGGTCTCCGTCTTATCGGAGCACCTATTTCAAGTGATTCAAGTGAATTTGGAGATAGGGGACTTGTTGCACCTTGTATGAGCAAAACCTTCAGGTTCAATCTTCTCTGAGCCAATTAAGACGATTTTAACAGTTCTACAAAAAAACACAAACAATAGGAATAAAAATGCTGTTTGACATAATGAAGAATTAACCCACTGCAGTCACTGCTGACAAAGTGCCATGAAGTTTGATTTGGTTTTCTTAAACTGTCTCAGAAAAGCTGATAACTAATTTTAGAATAATTATCCATTCTCGTGGGCCAAATGTTCAGTTAGCTGAACGGTCTGAGCTGCAGGCAAACATAAATTCATTTTCAAAACTGTTTAAAAATGAAGAGCTTATATCAGCAAAAATAGAAATCAGGATAAAAAATTATATTAATAAAGTTTGTTGGAGCAGAAGAATATTTATTTCTCCACTATTGTTTTCATTCTGTTTTTTTTTTTTTTTTTTTTTTACCACAAAATGCTGTGAAAGTCCGGTGCCTTTAAATACAATAAAGATAAATCTGAATACACAAACAGATTATATTCTTTATTGCACTGAGAAATGTTTTCTATTAGTGAATGCACAATTACTCCCTGGCAAGCCTCTAATCCTGCAAAAGATCTCCAAAGTGTGTCCCTTATGGAAGTGCAAAATGCAGACATCTGTGACCAAGTTACTCTGGTTGGAGAGGCAGAACTAATGTTTTCAAGCTGTATTCACATATCCAACTTCTCTGAATCATACCACAAACACAGTTATTACTTCAAAGTATTTAAACTGTAAAATTTGACCCTCTCTATAGTTATCTCCTTCATCATAGACGAGATGAATAAACACTGTAGGACGGATTTCATTATACAGTTTCTGCTTGTTTTGTTTATTTTTTATTACATACTTTACAAACACTGAAGAAAAACAATCCAATATAGCATTATTACATAAGAGGCCTTCATCTCTGTATGGACAAAGTTCTTGCTGCCTTTAAGTTTAAAATTTAATAAGCAAGTTCCCAAAGCATCTATCTGTTGGTTCTTTCTGGAAGTTTAATAGGATCAATTGTCAGAAATTAATGCTGATGATTGATATTTACATTGTAAGGTGCTGTGAGAAAAATATTTGTTGACTTGCAGATTTTATTATACTGTCAACACCAATCTGACTATTTTTTAAATCATTAATTAATTGTAATCTATCACAATCAGTCACAAAGCCTAATTACTGCTTGATTTAACTTAAATACAACCTGCCTGACAACAGGAAATAGGCTAAAACATCTTAAAAAGCAACACGTAAAGCGCTTATTTAAACAATTCAAAAATTGCAAAGGTTTATGTTGTTTTCCATTATTAATAAATATAAAGGAGCAATAAACCTTCCCAGGACTTCATTGCAAAGTCTTTATTAAAACTGCTGCATTGTTTCTGACTCTGGAAAACTTGTTGTAATTGAGGTTTTTGCTCAAAAACCTGAAGGAGAATATTTAGCCATCAGTTTGAGCTCAAACTCAGGTATACCTGGGTTATGAAGCAGGACAATTATCTAGTTCAAGACTAACTCTGAATGGCTAAAAAAAAAAAAAGCAAAATCAAGGTTTTTAAGTAGCCTATTTAAAGTTTAGCGATAGATGTAATTTATATCTTATCTTGTTTTATGAACCTTAAAAAGACCATGCTAAAATTCTCCAGTGTGTTTGAGTTAAGACAAATAATTGGTTAAAGCTTCTCCACACTGATATAAGTGATTTCTTGCCAAACTCTTGATGGCAGGCGGCGTCACAAAGGGTGACACAACCAGATATTATATTTTGTCATGGTTGGTTTAGAAAGCTTTTCAATTAAACATAAAAGAAAGTGCATTGTTGGTATTGTTAGCTGTAATTTCAAAACAGCCTTTTGCATTTCACCAGGTCCTCTTTGTAGTAAAATTTGTTGGATTACCTGGAGCATATATGATCTTGGATATAAAACCAGAAGACCCTTAAGAACAGATTAAACATAATCAAATATTTAGTTGTTTTGTTTGTTTTTACCAGAAACCACTACTGTGAAATCATTAGGCATACTGAGAATGACAGAATAAAAAAGTCTTAACCTAAGAGGATGTGATATAATAATTAACAAAACAATCTATATAATTTAGATGTTCTATATTTTTTCCATGGCAACAAAATGAACCACTTATCTGTGCTTAAGTTGTAATCCTTTCTTTCACTTTTGCACCATTTTATAAAAAAATGCGGATATGATATTTTTGAGTTGAAGGCGCATGAGGAGAGAGGATTAACAATAGCTTAAAAATCCTCATTTAATGTTTCTTCTCCTCTTCTTTGAAAAAAGCAGGTGTTGCACCGTCCCCATTTCTTGTCAAAGAGCTTAAAACTGAGGGTAAGAAAAACTAATTTGAGAAAAAGCTACTTCTTGGGCATGGAAACACTAATTGCCCCTTTAAAGCTTTCATTAATTCAAGCTCACTTATTCTTAGGAAAAGGAACATTTTCCATTTTAAGATCAACAACTGAAACAAAGGGAAGAAATAAGACATTACTGGATTGGTTGTTACTGCAGTTGCCTCAAAGGAAGATGGCATTGGGTTCAAATCCGCTTTCATCACAAATATATTCCCAACACATGCATGTGAGGCGTGTACTGGAAGAAAAATCAATGCTTCACTCACTTTTCACATTTTGGAAAATTACCACCACAAACCCTGAAATATGTTGTTGAGATTGTAACAATAAGTGATGAAAAAAACGGGAAAATGATTGTTAGTTTTCTCAAGTCTTTCACAGCTTCCAACAAGTTATCTTCCAATGTTGCTCTATCTTTAAATTGGTCCTTTTACTATTTGATTTTCCTATGGGATTTAAAGTATTCCTGACCTCAGTTTTTAATACAATCAAATCTAATCATCTCCCCAGTTGTTCCCATAAACAACAGAAACCATTCTTATTGGTGAAGATAGTGTGCTTACGGTGCTGTGTCGGGTGCTGCTCATGTCGTTCTCCACGTAAACCGAAAAGTAACATTTTGGTCTCACCGAGCCAGAGTACTTTCTTTTATGTATCAAACTGCAAATGGGACTTTTTATAGCTTTCTTGCCACAAATGCTTTTTTCTTTTCTTTTTTTTTTTTTTCTCAAATCCCTCTTATGTAAAAACTTGTGAAATAGATGAAGAATCATTCTCCTGTGAACAGATTCTTCCACCTGAACTGTGGATATCTGCATCTCCTGCCGAGTTCCTTTGGGGTTTCTGGCTACTTCTCTAACAATACTCCTCTGGCCCGGCCTGTCAGTTTGGCTGGACAGCCACGTCTTTCTTGCAAGGCTTGCAGTCTTAAACTCTTTCCATTTTCAGATGATGGATGAACAGTGCTCTGTGAGATATCTAAAGCATGGGCCAATTCATAAACTAACTTTGCTTTCTCCCTGACCTGTCGGCCATGTTTCTTGGTCCTTGTGATGCCGTTTGTCCACTGATGTTCTCATGTCTGAAACCTACACATAACAGCTGAATTTAATAAATCACACATGGACACATGACTACAGTAGGTATTGGTTTGTACTTCGTGGGGTAAAGAGTGCTGAATAAAAACTGGATACTACACTTTTCAGATTTTTTGGGAAAGTTTTTTCAGATTGAAAATTGAAAAAAACATTTAATTCCACCATATTCACCATCACATAAACTCATATTCTACATTGAGTAAAACATTAAACTTTAGACAGAGATGCCGGTACCTCTATTTTCCACAACATTTGCATTTTCCGGTTCTGAAGTCTTCACAATCAATGTGAGACTGTTGTCTGCTAGCGCATCCATCAATACGGCTCAGCGCTGCTCCACCTACACATCATTCTGATGGTCCCACCTGTTGGAAAAAAGAAAAAAAAAAGACACAAAGACAGCAAGAAACATTTAGATGAATATTTTTGGCAGAAAAACTCACATGTGACTAATGCAGACGTGCAGAGCTCAACATGCAGGGTGACCGTAAACACAGACAAACACACATCTCTTGGAAGTGGAAAAAAAAAAAACTCCCAGACCGAGTCGTCAAAAAGACCCCTGAGACACAAAGCAGTCACTCATTTCTTCTGCGTATGACAGGATCAAAGATTAATTCAAACTTTTCCAACCTACAAAGTACACAAAGAGTCACTGCTGGGATCGCTATGGCAACTGTAAGCCATACTATCCTATTTTAGGCTTCATTTAACATTTATAGCTGAGTTGTTAACCTATGTGAGTCTCACACAGGCATCTCTGAGCATATTTGTTTATTATAATTAGCTGACTGCCTCCCTGAGCAGCAAAGGAACGAGTCGGCACATGGAAAGATTAAAGCAATGTGGCTGAGGAGGTGACGGTACACTCTGAACAGTGGCAATACTTTTTATTTGGAGCAGTTCCTGATAGTGAAAGAGGAGGTGGGAGGTATTGTGTGCAGGTACAGCACGTGTGTGTTGGGTGTGCATGCAGGATATAGTTGGCGTGACACAAAAAAAAGAAAAGAAAAAAAAGAAAGAAAGCAAAATCAGTGGAGAAGCTTAAATTTGTGAATGTGGAAGAAAAAGAAGCAGATACACACTCTGAGCCAGCAAATGATGAACATTTGATGTTGTGGTTTCTTCCCCTTTTTGTGCAGTTTTCTTTTTTTTCCCTTTCCTCGCCATCCCTTTCTGGAGGAGCGGTGCCGCCGGATGACAAATGAGCAGAGGGAGGGGATCTAATAACATGATCTCCTTGTGGTGTGAAAGGGGTGGCTGGGAGATTAAGACAGACGGTACACAATAAGACAAAGGTAGTGCGCAGCTGACTACAACCAAGTGCCACCTCTTTCATCCTCTTACCTCTAAATGTCATTAGATGTTTACTGACCTGAGTGGGAGAGCTACCTGAAGGGAAGCCCTGCTGCAGCCTGCAGCTGCAAACACACCAGCTCAGGGGGGGTAATTACCTTATGAGGCGTTACATTGACTTTTGTAGCAGGTACAGACTCCTAAAGGTGGGGCACTTTAATATAAACTGCAGTAAAGATAGCCAAACAGTGCTACGCACACACAAACGCACACTTTAAGTAGTTTTTATTAATTATTTTACAGAACTTTACTTTGATTAGATTAGATAAACTGAACAACAAATAACAATCGCATATTAATGCATAAAAAATTTGCAATAAACCACAGCATTCATATGGCACAGTATTAAATTGCTAGTTCAGGATTTTTCAGGTGAAAAGGTTCTAAGGAGTTAATTTATTATAATTTCTTGTAAGTAATTTTCCAGATTAATTAAGCAGTTTCTTTTGGTGATTTGTTCCTGTTTTTTCAGATTTTCAAAATACAAACACAGAAACAGCACCATGAATTGTTTCTGGTTTAAAAAAACACATTTGTTGTGTTAAATCATTATATTTGTATTTCTTCCTCCCAGTATTTATCTCATGATCGGCATGTTTTTTCATATTTATGAAGGCACACATGCTAAATTTGATGACATTCTCCTCTTTTTGCTAACACAATCATGTCTGCGCTTGCTTTCGAATTTGAACATGTGTTTATAAATGCTAAACATTAAAAAAAAAAACCTGATCCTAAGAGAAACCCACAAGTAATCAGTTGAGTTTCTGAAGAGGAAATAATTCAATACATTATTATAGGCATATATCAACACATACGTTTCAGCATAAATTTCCTATCAACATAAGTTGATGTGTAATGTAATTATAGTCCAAACCCGTGTAGATCCAGCCAGTATTTGGTCTTCTCTTCAAAGAGACACATTACTGCACCTCCAGCCTGAGATTAAGCGCTCAGCTACAGAGCTACAAAATGGTTTTGAGGTCAAGTTGTATTAATCATTGCCATATTTAACTTCTACCTCTGGCGATAAACACATCTCCTTCAAAATGACATGAACTGGAACTGGCTGGCTGAGAAGAGCTGAGTTTGGCCTTATCGGTCTGATCAAAATAATAAAAAAAATGAAGCAAGCATGGCAGCAGTTTGCAAAAAAAAAAAAAAAAAAAGGCTGGATCCAGTGAGAAGTGTGACACAACTCGCAGCTGGGATGCTGTTCAAGCCACAGAGGTGCTGTTTGGAGTTCAGCTCTGAGAGCTGCTCAAAGGTCTGTATGTTTGACTGCATGTGTGTGAGATAAAGCCCCATGGCTGAGGATCCACAGTGTCAACATCCCACGGCACAAGCCTGCGCATACAATCACAAGGAGGGAGGTAGAGGGAAAAAAATCAAAGCTGGGCATTTACCAGCACTCCCAACACCGCTCTTGCCAGCCGGCTCCAGCTCCACTGCCTCAAATGTTTATTTTCCACATTATTCATGATTTTTCTTCCCCCCTGCAGGCTCTCTCCTTTCTCCCCCCCTCCTTTAACATATCCAGCACTCTGTCAAGACCTGACGAGAGGCTATTTCAATAATGAAGATGGACTAACTGCAATAGAGAGTGCACATAAATTGGAGCTACAGCCAACAAGCATGTCCAATTTGCCAAGCGGTTAAGCCTGATGTCTGGCCACAGCTTTGGAGAGCGCCGTGGCCGCCATCAACAGGTTTGCTCCGACCTGATTCATCCATCCACATCATTAATACTTCACAGAGGGCACTAGCATTTAACTCTACTGCAGGAAACTGCTCTTTAAACATCGCACATTAGGCCACGTAATCACCGGAGCACTCATTTCTGAAGCGTTCAGCAGGTGCAGGGAAAATTGCTGGTACTTCTGACCCCTCCATTGTTCTTCACTCGTGGGCCCGGGGGTCCTTTTGCATCGGGAGGAACAGAAATAGAGACAAAGAGCAGAGAGTGGGTGCAAGCCAAACACAATGATTAGAATTTGATTTATCCTTTTAAACCCTCCTCCACAGATCATGTGTTAATGTGCAAGCTGGATAACAAGATAAGAACGTGTTTACCCGCTCTATATAGAACTTATCAGCACCACAATCTAATTCCTGCAAGCCTCTTCCCAGTCCCACAATTTGCTGCACTTCTCCTCCTTACGATTGAATATCTCCTGAATGAAGCTGCATCGACAGGGATAGTCAGAGTTGGGTTGTGTATTGCTGTCCAAAAAAAAAAAAAAAAAAAGCAAGGAATGTCTCACAGTAGTGGTACATACAGGTACAAAGGGCCCATTGTGTCAAAACAGGGGGAGAGTCAGGGGCCGAGGAACAGGTGACCGAGAGAGGAGCTCTGAAAGAGGGCACAGCGCCACAGGGAACGCTGATCCAAACAGACAGCGCTGAAATGGCAACTCCTCTTTTCAGCACAGGTGTATAGTTTCAGAGCAGGTTCACTGCCGAGGAACCCATTTCACATGCAAGACAGCAATGATTCAGAGCTGAATATAAGAGTTTAGGCTGCAGAAAAGCCCCAATGCAATGCAAGCATACAATTTAGCTACAGAACACACACACCTTGCCTTTACAGTTTCAATTAGGAAGTAAATCTGGAATGATCACGTTATAAAATTGACTTTTTGTTAAAGTGTTGCTTGTTTTAGGCATTCGCTGAAGATGTAACCACAGAGCCAGAAAAACAGAACGTCTTCCATGTTCTTCATCTCACGGAGGCTCTGCCTGGGTTACTTGGCTGAACACGGACAAACAGTTACTTCATGTTGCTCATTTCTGCTGATCATGGACTGAATCTAACAGGAGCAGAAGGCATTTTGAATCCAGTCGGTGAACATTTGTGCAGTCTATTTGAACTGCAAAACAGGAATTTACATGTTTCCAGACGGAAGTTTGAGCTGAACAAAAATAAGATGACTGACTTGCAAAGTTAAAGTCTGGGAGTAGGAACCTTTAAAAAGTAAAAAAAAAACAGACTTTATTTTTTAAAAATGATTTCATTTGTTAAGGGGAAAATAAGACTACCCAAACCAACTTGTTTCTGTGTGAAAAAAGCATCAAGAAATATAAGGCATTGGTTAAGCAACATCATCTGAATCAGTTTTAAGTTTGGACTTTGATTAGGCCACTCAAAACCATTCGTTTTGCTTCAATGTGCGATCAAGAAGAACACCTTCTGGTCTGCTTTCAGTCCTTATCCTGCTTTATTATCCAGTGCAAACTGCTGGTCAGATATCACATCAATGATGGCAAGATATAGAGCAGAAAAGCATCTGCAGGTCATCACTTCACTACCAATATGTTTCTCTCACTGTCATGTTCTTTTTTTTAGAAAATGAGACAAGTCTTTGTGGTTAGCAGTGGTTTTTACCTTGGAACTCTTCCATGAGGCGTCATTTAGTCTCTGTCTTCCTGTTTAACCTGTTTACTGCCTCAAGTGGAGCTCAGTCAAAAACCACATATGTTGGAAACACATAGGTAAACTACTAATTCTGTTATTTCCCATGAATGTGCATTGATAAATATAGCAGGTTCTAATGGACACATTTAAAAGTTGAAAGTGATTATAAATTTATTAAAATAACATTTGTATTATTTTTTCTGAGCTCTTGTTTTGCTGGTTGTTAATTATCCATTAAATAAGATTTCTTTCTCCTCTTAAGATTGTGTTCTTTTAACAGCACCTAGTAATTTTCTATGCAATTTATTCTCTAAAGTGGAGGAAAGAAAACATTAATTTTATTACAACTAGCATTTGTCCTCTTTGCTGCTGTATAACAAGCTACAGATCTGTGTGCCTTACAAAATGCAGCGCTGAGTACAAATGATGTTTTATGAATTTGATGGAACAAGATCAACATTAATATTCAGCTTCCCTTTGTTCAGCTTTTCTGTCAAGCTGCTCCTGGGGGAAACATCTGGCTGTTTATGTGCTAAATGATCCTCTGTGAATATGTCATGTCTGTCTTCATCAAGCTGAAGGGTGAGGAGTTAC